CTCTCTCTCTCTCTCTCTCTCTCTCTCTCTCTCTCTCTCTCTCTCTCCAGGGGAAATTAATTGATGATTATCTCGTCTTGCAGAGCTGGTCTGCAAACTTGCTTTTTTTATCAGCAAGGCCTCACTTTCCACCACTTATAGCTTAATTTGACCCAACCTCCCTCTCTCTTTCTTTCTCTCCATCCATCCCTCTCTCAGGCGACTCTTATCAGTTAGCTATGTGTTCAGATGTATAGTTCAATTTGGCTTCCTTTAATAAAAGGAATAGAACAGAGAAAAGATTTGTTAACTGGTTATGTTAACAGAAGGGGGCTTACAGACTAAAGAAGACAGGGCCGAATAGAATATGTGTTAGTGTGAGTATGTTTAAATGAACAGAGGCAGATGAAAGGTGGGGGGGGGGAGAAGAACCAAGGTGTAGGAGTAAAACAGAGAGAAGAGGGATTGTGTAATTATGAATGAATAATAATATTTTCTTCATTGAAAAACTGTCATTTGGCTAAATCAGCTCACAGAGTTCAGTTATGTGATTTCTTCTATTTTGTTCTTTTTTCTTTAATTCCACAGGGACATTTAACTGCAGCATGAAGCCATAACGAGATCAGGGACAGCAGCCGAAACACAAAGACTCAGCCGCTAAAGATAAGCGTCACAGCAAAACATCAACAGTAAGCTAGAAAGAGGTTCTGGTATTTGGGTACGGTTTTAGACTCTAGCAAGATCAGAGAAACTGTCTTTAAGGTCATTATCAAAAACACTAAAAAAACAGATTTCTTTGAATGTAACTTCAAAGTTCACAGGCACCGAAGGGAAGTGTCCGTTTAGTGATTTGTAGACTGTAACGATGTATGACTGAACCCACATGTCCACCTCCTGGACCTGTGGACTGAGCCCTTGTGGACCTTGGTCCTAGACCATGGTGTGTTCACTGTCATCTTGTCAAATCTGCAAGGGAGTTGGGAGGTGGATAAAAATGTACTAAGAGACTTCAGATCTCAAAAGGTTATGAATTCAAGTTCCTGACCCTCTAACCAATACCCAAGTATTCTTATGATCATTCTTAACAGTATTCACATACTGTAAGCCATAAATGCAAACTATGTGAAATGTCTCCTGCTTTACATATCTGAACAGAGATAGAGGTCAAAGAACAAATAAAAGAGCATAAAGGTCAGTATGCACAGTAAAACTTTCCCTCCAGTGAACATGAATACTGCTAAAATTATAATCACATCAAATATTCAACTCAGGATCCTCACATCGTAGGTGGCCCCAATGTTTTTCTGGGAAGGATGAAAAACCTTTGCCTGTTTAACTCTGCAGATTCTAACAAGCTTTCATTATTAGAGCTGAACAACTTAAGCAGTGTTTTTGTTTCACAAGTCCAAAAGTCATACTCTGGGTTGGTATTCGTTAACAGAAATATTTGAGTGTCATCTTTAAAGTTTGGTTGAAGTTGCAATGTCAGAAGCACTCCCTAAAACTTCTCTTAAATTGTCTGGGAATTTGAGATGCACAACTGATTCATATTTGATCACTCAACGTATTATATTACGCATGGAATTACCGTTTCAATGCACAATGACTTTGTGTTGGTAAATCGTTTTAAACGTGCAAAATGGTATGGCATGTGATAAAACACACAAACACACAGAGACATGAATCAATGTTTGAAGTCTGGGACATCAATGTAAGACGAAGCAACACACACAAAAAGACATTAGCAGAAAAACCTGTCACGCATATACATTCACAAACCACATACACATTCACATAAACACACACACACAATCACAATTACTTCTGAGGCAACAAACACACTTAAGGGTCCCCACAGATGTGAAACGGAACAATGGAAAGAAACAAATGAAGACAAAGTACTTCCTGGCACTTCCTGGGAAAAGGTTTAATGGCTGTCAGGTTTCTTTTTAACATACACAAACACACAAATGACACAGCTCCAGGAATATACACACACACAGACTCAATATGCAGTTTGCAGAGATTGATAAAGATAAAACACACTCACACACATCGACACATATACACACAGGGGAGTAAGTGTATATCTGGTCTCTTGCGTTTGTCTTTGATATTTAGAGTTCATGATTCATAGATGAACTGTTATGCAAGCATAATGGAACATACTGTGTGTGTGTGTGAATCTTCAAAAGGTCAGTCTTAGAATGTGTGTCGCTTCCCAACAGGCACGCAGACATGGAGCGGTCTTATACTACGTGCATAACGAACACGCAAGACACACAGCTAAACAACAAAAAGCCAGGAAGTCAACGCTCTGAACACGGATCTCTCAATGTAGAAATAAAAATACAATACACGTGTATACACATATATATGTTACGGTAGTCCCAAATGATCTAACAGTTATTCTCATATATCAGAAGTAGGCTTAGTTACAAGTGTTTTTATTAGTTTTTAATGTTTTGATGTCATTTATTATCATGCTGCAGCACGCATCTGCTCTGCTCTCTCTGTCAGGTTGAGCTCCTCTAACTACACACACGCAGACGCAAACACACACACATAGACACAAGCACACACACGCACAAAGCGCAAGCAGAAAGGCCGCTGTGGTGAAGTGAACCAGGTGAAGTGAAGAATACTCGAGTTGACGGCAATATAGGCTTGTTACTGGATGTGGAAAAAAATAGTTGCGAGTAAAACGCCAATACTTTATCAATACATATGTGAACATGTAAACAATCCATCCATCCCCGCTATGTTTACCCGAGCACAGCAAGCACGATGCACGATGTAAGCTCTTTGTTATGCAAACTCCTCTGCTGGCTGAGACAAAGCAGCCAGACGGAGAGAGAAAAGACATGAGGAATGACCGATTGTGACGGATGTCTGTGTTCTTCATTTTTTATAAACTTCACTCATAAGGGTTATTAATATTAACAGTTTACATTTGTGTCCAGTGAGATATTGTGACTTTATATAGTGACTTTATAGTTGCTCTATAAGCAATATTTATATCTATTTTAAATATGAATTCCAATCCTGTTCTGAATGTATTTGTTTTTTTAATTATATATATGTAATTATTTAGTCATGTAGAAAAGCAAAGTATTGATAAGAGTAGCTAGTTGTACTGAAATCCTAATGATAACTCTCCCTAGCTGAAGGCCACCGTAGTTCTCCAACATGCTTGGAAAGGGAGGCATAAGCTGAGGGGTGTTTAGATGGTTGTAATCTGCAACCAACCACTAGATGCCGCTAAATCTTAAACACTGGGCCTTTAATGTACTCCTTAAAGCTCACCGTTATATACAAACTTGCACCTTGCAAGACATCACTACTAACTCAGAAAGTGTCTGTGCATCATGGCCGGCACTCAAACATCACTATGTGCATTCACACATTGCCTTACCTTCGTATACAGCTTTGAAGCCCTGTGCACTGACAGCAAAGTCTGTGGTAAACCACAAGGCCAATATAGATCCACTGCTGACAAGAGCGGAGGGCAGCATGAATCCTGACAACCTGAAAAAAGAAAAGAAATGTCTCTGAAACACAGCAAGACAGTTGACTTTTGAAACAAACAATAAGGCAGCATCACACATGAAACAGCAAAATACACAAGTATCTGGCAGTAAAATATAATTGTGCTCATTGGAGATGTTGTGGTTAAGACCCACTGCCCTGAAGCCATAGTGATTCCTACTGGCCTGAGATCAGGTCCCTCCAAGACGTTCTACTTTATGTTATCCTGACTCTGCACCACTCTTAGGTCAGCTATCTTCCTCATTGAAGAAAAGGAGTGCAGGGAGTGATTTTCATGTCACTCTCTAAAAATAAACTATTTGAATTTGAAGCGCCACTGAGCTACAGTGCACAAGATCCACTGTTCATAATAACCAACCATGCTGTTAGCACAGACACTCTGAAATACAGAATGAAAATCCCAAATAAAAACATGCTGCAATTGAATTATTTACACTTTAACAGTGAAACTAATGTGATAGGAAAAGTTTGGTGTTGTTTGACCCTGATACAGCAAGGTGACCTCTTGATTACACCGGAGGTTGAGCAGAAACAGCCCCTTGATTTTTAATTGAGAGGTAATGGTTAAACGATTAAGGGAGGAGAAAAGGGAGGACACAACACAGAGCTGAAATTCAAAAAGATGAATAGTGTATTGAATTGCCTACTGTACATAATGAAGCCAGCATAATGTAGATTAAAGTGTTACAACTAACAAACAATACAATGGAGAAACTAATATGTGATATTCATATTATGACTGGAAGTTCTGGTATGGACAATCATCTCCAAGGTTAAGTCAATGTGAGCTAAATAACTGAACTTGCTGCAGAATAGAAATGCATTAGACAGAGATGCAGCTTAAAGCTCCTACAAGGAACATTCATTTTGTGTTCATTTCTGCGGTCTCTGTGGACAGAAACAGTAGTGTATTCCGAGCACCAGATTCCTTTAAAAAAATGTTTTTACTACAACAGGATCTGACAAAAAGCAAAAACTTTGCAAAAAACTAAAATGCAACCCAAACCCAATAAGCTAGCCAGTGGAGTACACTCACACACACTAAAAGGCACAACAGCTATTTAAACAAAGCACAGAGAAGCTGGGATTACAACACACACAGTGTGACTTCCTTTTCTGCTCAGAATGAAGGACTTCAACTATCTTGTGAATTTGAAGGTTAAGTTATCATGTTTCTAGTATGTCTACAGTGTC